TTGGGGGCCCCTCCTGTCGTTCGGGGGCCCCTCTAAGGAGATCTGGGGGCCCTCCCCCGGAAAATGTGGAAAATTACACACTTTTTAAACGCAATTTTATGCATTATTGGAGTCAAATTCTACAGTATTTGAACTTCAAAATAACCCATTCTCAGGATTCTTTGGGGCCCCTTCATCACAAAAGCTTTAGACGACCTTTCATGTCACTTAGAGACAAATTTTCAAGGATTTTGGGACCTTTTAGTGACTGAATAGGATAAAAAAATTACAACATTACAGGGGTAAAACCATAACTCGAAAAAAATTCGCCGCGGGGGCCCCTTCGGGACCTCCGTGGCAAATTGTTAGGAGGCGATCGCCTCCCCGCCCCTGTGGCCAGTCCGCCCCTGAAGGATCGGTAAAATACGTCGTTGAGTTGAGTGAACGTCTCTTGATAGAAAGAGCGGAGCTTGGGGAATTGAGAAAAGGTTCTCGTTGACTCACAACGAACGGGAACGGGACAATATGACGAGCAGCTCGATAAATGGACATATTTCTGCCAACGGAACTAAGTACATTAAGACATGATCCCTGAGACCCATAAGACTACATGCATAACAGGGCTCAAGTCATAATGCACAAAGTTCCGATTGGCAGAAATACGTCCAAATAATAGCTGGTCACCTTGATCCGAGCGAAATCAATGGAGGCATGCAATTTTCTGGACAGCTGACAATGAATTATATTTGTATTGAAGTCGAGCATGCTACGGCCCCGCCCCGTCGTTTGTCTTTCCCTCTTTCCGCAAATTTCATCTACTAGGGATCGCATTCGATAGTGGTTCGATGTATCGTTTCGTTCAAAACAATAGAGCATAACCTCAAACAAAAATTTTAAGATCTAAGTTAGAAAAGCTGGAAAAGAGGAAACGCCTAACAATTTCACGATTCGTTGCCATGTAGTACGTACTCATAAAGATTAAAAATCAATGACGAAAACCCGTTTCCACAGATTACTCGATTGACTTTTGAGGCGACGTTTATAAGTCGAACCAATCGATATCGATATTATCTCAGCGATAGAATGCCTGTTTGATGTATTGAATGCGATCCATTGTTCAACGAATCCATAAAGTGGGCAAAGTGTGTGGCGCCTACGCTCTCTTTCTCCGGGCACTGGAAAAAAAACACATTGGATCTAGAGTCCAGACTCTTAAAAACATCTACAGGAAAAAATACTCTTGATTCAATCGGATTTTCGCTTAAATCAAGAACCAAACCTCTTAATTTGAGCGGATTTCCTTTTGATTTAAGCAAAAATCTGATTGAATCAAGAGTATTTTTTCTTGTCAATGTTTTCAAGAGTCTGGACTCTAGATCCAATGTGTTTTTTTCCCAGTGGGGTACTGTCTAAGAACCAAGAGGGATTCTATGAAAGGGTAAGAGAACAAGGGAACCGCAAATAAGAACACTAACGCTAAAAAATCAAGTTTTTCCACCCCCCCCCCCTTCCATCCTGGGACGCGCTCATAACGCAGGTTTAAAAACTCTCCGTGAAATCCTGACGCTCTTTTTGACCCGCCCTCAAAAGTAGAAAAATCACTAATTGACCTCACCTTTTCAATTAAGTTTTTTTCTATGTGAATAAAAATAAAAGAATTGAAACAAAAATGAAAGAAGGGAATAAAGCGAAAATAAGCGCGTGTAGAGAATTACCTTCACAGTGAAAATTTCAAACGTCAATCCCTAAACGAGGCATTCCGATTTGTTGCATGCATCAGTAATGAGAAATTTAAAAGTCTTACGCACAAAAAAAAACGAAGTCCTTGTAAATCAGATCGAATACCAAACCGGTTTCGGAGGGGGTTTAAAATTCAACGGTGCCATTCATCATAATGTTTTGAGCCGTACTTTTGAAAGCTCCTCGTCGTGAAACTGCAGTGGCCACTAAGAGAACGTATGATGAATATTAAAGGCTGAACACAACGTTTGGTCCGCGTATTCCCATAGAAAGTTCTGGAAGTTCTGAAAGTTCTCCCATGGAATCTGCTATGTCGGCAAGAAAATGAACTAAATCGGTCTCAACTTATTTTCGAAGGTTGTAAGAATGTTTTCCGGCGGAAATTTAAATGAAATTTTCAACGCGATTCGGAAAATCGTTTTGATGCATTATTCAGTTCTGTCACGAAAAAAAACCCTTTTCCCCGTATAGCACAACACTGTAGCTTTTGTTCCGGGAAAAAGAGAGGATAAAGTTACTTTTATACTGGCGAATTCTTTTTCCCTCGAAATGTAGTTCCAGACCTTTAGATGAATTGTTTAAATAACTAGGACGATGATTCGCTCTTGACGAGTGTATCAGAGTAGTTGAAGAAGGAATCTGTTTTTCTTAACCTTGCGTTTAAGTCTCCATGACCTTCTATTACTACAAAAGGGCGATTCATAATTAAAAATACGAGTAAAAAGAGTGTTAGAGCACTCGGATGGGGAATCTCTTTTTCTTAACCTTGCGTTTAAGTCTCCATGACTTTTTATTACTACAGTACCTTACAGAATGATTCATACTATTAAAAGCATGACTAAAAAAGGTCTTAGAGCGCACGGATGGGGAATCTCTTTTTCTTAACCTTGCGTTTAAATCTCCGTGACTTTCTATTACCACAGTACCGTACAGGGTAATTCATAGTTAAAAACACAAGTGAAAAGAGTGTTAGAGCACTCGGATGGGGAATCTTTTTTTTAACCTTGCTTTCTCACCTTCCCCTCCCGCGCGTAACAGGCCGTCGTAAGAACCCTTTTTGTGAATATTAATTGGCAAAATTTAGACTTGTTGCATTCTCATTCAAGATTATGATTATTCCCCTCTTGAAAATTTAATTTATTTCAGAAAAGCTGTTTACCCTGAAGTACTCTAATTTTTTAATAGGGTGCAGATGTTATTACAGTTCGCGAGTTATAAAATTGGACGCGACGCGTGGATGCAAACGCAACATGAGAGAGATGGCTTCGCTTTGCGGCACGCGCTCCGATGACGTGAGAGGATTACACGTCTGTAAGAAAAGTAAGACGTCGCGATGTGTTGAAGGGAGGGAAATCAACCTGAGGCCAATCAAAGAGAAATCAAACAAAATGCCAGCTGTAGCTTACGTCGCGTCGTTGCCAAACAGCCGCAAACTGGATGCATCCATGCTAAAGTTTACGCATCAATCACTACATAGAGCGCTATTGATTGGAAATAATACAATGCCCCTATTGCTCACGAGAGATACAGACAACTGGGTAGACTTTAAGTAACTCGCAAAAAGTTAAAATAGTCATAGTTGATATTACGGTTTTTAAGTTACCTTGACTTAATGTAAACAGATTTTTTGTTCGAATTTATATTATTTTCATATTAGCTTTTATTTCTTTAATTACTATCCCTTTGTCTGTCGTTTTCATAATTATAGTATGTGTTTTATAAATACTACTTTTTTTAGGAAGTTTAAATTTTGTATGTATCATACATATCTTATATTTTGCTTAATTTTATTATTTTTCATAGTTTAGTCAAAGTTAATGTTTCATAGTTAGTTATGTTTCATAGTTATGTCAGGTAAAATCTCACAAAAATCACGTTGGGCGTATCAGGAATTCCCACTCCTTACCATAAAATTTGCACTCTCTATATCATACATTTTCAAATTTATCAAATTGCCTACTATTAATATTACTATTATTTATGCATACTGTTAAGTCTATTGAGTGTAGTAGGTTAAGCTATTACGTTTTCCTGACTCCCTGTAATTTAATCAGGTTTGCCGAGCAAGATTACCTGGCCTAAGTAAACAGACAATCTTGTGATCTGTTTTTTACATATGATGTCAATAATTTTCAAGCTTGTGTTACCACCTTATTCCCCTACGTTGCAAGCAAAAACAAATCCTTTTAATCCATTGAAATCATACGTAAGAAAGATATCGGCGGTGAAACTACCAGACCACGTATCTCAGTTTGCGACGTTGTAGACTTCCTGTCATACTTTTTTTTCCATGGAAAACCACGCCACGTCAATTTTCGAAAACTGCCATAATTTGTCTTCTCCTTACGAAGAAAACTCTGTGATAACTTCAAGGAATGAAATTGATTGGTTCTCAGTCAAAAAAATAATAAAATGGGAGCTGAGATTTTTAAACACCGTAAACGAGATGTATGGTCTCGTAGTTTCACCGTCGATATGTGAAATTATAGTTGTCCATCATATAGTTGGCACCCATGAAAAATCTACCAAGTCGGGTTTATCTCTCGTGTACAACATAACCCATTCCATTAAAGTTTTTCAGAAAAAAACCCATCTACTTTAGCCCTGGATTATGTTCATACACCAAAGAGAGACCTCATATTTTTGACTGAATATTACGATTTAATACATATATGTACTCAAAGCAGATTTTCTCACCACGTAAGATTAAAAGACGATGTTAAGTGAAAGTAACCGGACTGTTGGTAGTGGAGAATTTGCAGGTGTCTGAAATTGTGTGAATTTAATTTTTAAGCAGAAACTGCTGAGTGGACTGAGCGTGAGAATATTCTTGATTTCTAAAGTGAACAATTATTAGAGGAGATAGGACCGAATTACCTGATCTACTAAAAAATACAAGCGTTTAAAAGAGAGGTGCCGCCGGATGACGTCATAAGACGGCAGATTTTTTCACATTTAAATAAATTTTTCTACAATTTCCCGTACCGAGAAAAAATAATGCGAACTTAGCTCATTAAGCACTCTCAGATGAAGCAATACATTTTTTTCGTGCAAATTCTCCATCGAGACTTGGTTAAATAGACCATTTGGGAGGGGGGGGGGTCGGGGATTAAAAAACTGAGAATCTACATCCAGACTTATTTGAGCATTAATTTTCAAATTTTCGATTTTAAGAATTTTTCTTCATAGATTTTGGTGATAAATTACGCAAGTCGGATGCTTTGAGCCTCTGAAAACTTTCAACTGAAGGTTTGAATATTTGATCAAAGATGAAAACTTACCTTCCGATGGGAAGGAACACGAGTGAGCCTTCTTACTTTTGCTTTTCCTCCGGGCCGAGGTCATTGAGCTTCGTTTCATTGACCCGCGGCAAAAATCACCAAAAATCTCGCCAAAACCAGGCAGACCATGTGCGCCCCGAAGATCTTTGACGAGTGACAACGTGCGCAACGGAACCTCCCGATCTTCACTTGCCTCGATCTCGCCTGTCTAACGCCTGTAAAAAGTTAGACACAAACAAAAAAGAACGTTAGATAAATTTTAAAACCACAAAGTGCGAAACAAAAAACGATAAATGCATGTACTGGAAAAAAAACGCATCGAATCTAGAGTCCAGACTCTTGAAAACATTGACAAGAAAAAATACTCTTGATTCAATCAGATTTTTGCTTAAATCAAAAGGAAATCCGCTCAAATTAAGAGGCTTGGTTCTTGATTTAAGCAAAAATCCGATTCAATCAAGAGTATTTTTTCTTGTCGATGTTTTTAAGAGTCTGGACTCTAGATCCAATGTGTGTTTTTTTTCCAGTGCATGCGCGTGTATTTCAACAAATGTTATCACTTCTATGTACTTCTTTTACAGTTATTTCAATTAAAAAATCGAGTGTCGCTGTGTTCGGGGTTCAAGTTGGTGCATTCACATTTTATCTGACCTTCAATGGTCATCAGGTGACGGTGTATCGGGTTTCAGAGGCGCGGCGTGCTTTGCGATGTATCGATTGATCTGCCATTTAAACCTATGGAAAATGATCGATTAACAGGGTGTTTGCAACGAAAGCCTTAATGATCGATTCCTTACCATAGCTCCAAATAGGGAAACATCGATAGTCGATCATTGACGCCTCGCCACTGTCGGGTTTCTAATCTGAGCGATGCCCCTCGAAAAGGATTGAGTATGGTGACATCCTTTGGGCGCGGTACTCTTTTTTATCCAGAAACTTAATATCAGCGTCCATGAGTGGCTTGTAAGTAGTGCAATAGTGCCGATCTGATGGGGAAAGGCCGCACGGACATTTAAACGTTGCCATATTTCGTCTGATAAAATAAGAATTTACGCGACAATTTGTTTTTACTTTTAACCGAATTCACTTAAAAATGGATGATGGCGCCAGATCTACAACCTTCAAAACACGGATTTTATCTTGCGCCCACCTTGTTAGAGACGTATGGACATTAGCATAGGCGGATCCNGGGGGGGGGGGGGACAAGAAAAGAGTCGCCGCAATTTTTTGGAATCTCAAATCCTCTTTCCCATGTCAAAACTCGAGGCATCAATGGTACTTATCAAAGGAGCTCGCACTGCAGTGGGCTTGCACCACAAAGTTTTTTAGTGTAAATAGTGGCGTTTTTCCTTAGCACGGTAGCGTACACGGAGAAAAAAACTTCGTGCGTGGGACCCGAAGTTTAGGTCATATGGATCTCTGAATTTTTCGGATTGAGCATCTGAACACTTAAGGTTTAGCTGCCGAAGTTCAGGTCAGACATCTGAAACTTCAGTTCTTACACCTGAAGTACTTCGGTTTTCACATCCGAAAAACTTCGATTCTCCCATCTGAAGTACTTCAGATGTAAGAACTGAAGTACTTCAGATGTGAGAACTGAAGTTTCAGATGTCTGACCTGAACTTCGGCAGCTAGACCTTAAGTGTTCAGATGCTTAATCCGAAAACTTCAGAGATCCATATGACCTAAACTTCGGGTCCCACGCACGAACTTTTTTTCTCGGTGTAGGGCTCAGTGTTCATACTCACTAAATAAAGGCACTCTACGCGCAACGCCAGGGGGTCTCCCTCAAGGTCAAATTCATCACATGGTCCGGAGGCTCTATGGCGAATCTCGCCCTTATCGAAGATCCATGGAGCGATGAGTCACGATGACGCGATGACGTTAGACGCCGCGACGCGACGCGACGCGACGCAACGGGGGCTACGATTAAAGGAACGGCGAAACCGGAGGTAGTAGGCAGAAATGTGTGGTCGCCTCGCCGCGCCGCTTAGGGAATGGAAACACAAAGGGGGAGCGCGGAACTTTCTCTTTCTGGGCTAAAATCAAAGCTCAACTTGAGGCGGTCCCCGTTTCCGACCCCGCCACTGGCATCGGCATCCACATCGCCGCCTCCTTCGGCAGATTATTGGAGCACTGCAGAGTTTTTCGGTTGGTCAATTGATACATTCATCGAATAATCGAAAATTCAGTAATCGATTGATGATGATCGAAAATTCAGTAATCGATTGATGATGATCGATAATTCAGTAATCGATTGAAAATAATCGAAAATTCAGTGATCGATTAATGATAATCGAAAATTCAGAGGCGGATCCAGCAATTTGACAACACCGGATTCCCTCGATTCAAATACCTAAATTAAATCATCGATTTTTTTGTCGGAGTACAGGGCCCCTCCAAGAATCGATACATTTCCATAGGTTTAAATGGAGAGAAACAATGTTGCGAATTCGCTGGATCTGCCGATGCGAAAATTTAGTAATCGATTGATAATAATAGAAAATACAGTAATCGATTAATAATAATCGAAAATTCAGTAATCGATTGATAATAATCGAAAATTCAGTAATAGATTAAGAACAATCGAAAATTCAGTAATCGATTGAAAATAATCGAAAATTCAGTATTCGATTGATGATAATCGAAAATTCGGTAATCGATTGATAATAATCGAATCGTAGTCAATCGATAAATCGCTCATTGTGCATATTCTAAAACTGCAAATTTTCAAAATAAGGGCCTGTCTCCTAAGGTGTGCCCGCCAGGGTACTGAGGACCGTGTAAATCAGCATTTGTGCTGAATCTGAGAGTAAAAAACCTAGTATGCTGTACAGTTTTGATAAAAATTTGGCAAATTTTGACTCAATCAGCTCCATATTTTCTCTTGAAATCCTACATTCCCATTAGATATCATAACTTTCGGGCTTTCAGCTAAAGATTTCAAAGGAGTTGTGCTGATTTTTTCAAATTTGGCCGGGGTCCTGGGAGGTTTTCAGGTTTCGATTGATCGGTAGTAAAAGTTGTTCGAAATTTTAACAATCGATTGATCGATCAAATTGAAAGACATTCGATCAATCGAGTAATTAATGGCTAATCGAAATACTCCATGTGACAGCCATTGTTCCCGGCCTAGTTTTTGCCGCTGTCGGACGTCCTGCTCAGCACACTTCGGAGCACTGGGAGTTTCGCACTGAACTCGTTTCATTGTTTCAAAGCCGTCATATCAACAAATTCAGGGCAAAGGCGACTTGAAGTGGAAAGGTTCGTGAATATGGTGCGCTCGCGGATAATTCAATCGCGTATAATTAAATCGCGGATGTTCGATCGTAGATTACTCGATCGCGTATAACTCGATCGCGGATGACTCGATCGCGGATGACTCGATCGCGGATGACTCGATCGCGGATGACTCGATCGCGAATAAGACGATCGCAAATGACTCGATCGCGGATATTCGCGCTCTGCTCCATAATTTGCATGATCTTCATAACTTTCCTCAGAGGATTGATATTCAAAATTAAGGCGCGGGTTATCTAGTTGTCGCAGATTTTTCCTGAGAATACATTTTTTTGTCTGCGAACTTTGGATTAACCTAACTTCTTTACTACGACTGGAGTGCTTAAGTGTGAAAATTACTCTACGCTCTGGTATTATTAACTCATAATGGACCACTAGACAAGGTGCAAATCTCAGCATTTTGATACATGTTCCTGAACCAAAATTTCACGTAAATCACGATGCGAACAACGAAAATTACCGAAATCACATCCTTACGAAGATATTCAATAATTCTTGATGCGTGAATGCAAACCACCCCCTCATGAAGACTCAATGCTCTACGTGATTCACATCGCGCGCTAAACGTTTATCATGACAGTTTCTGAGATATAAAAGTCTGGCAACCTCAATCTTGACACTTTGACTCAGCTGTAGCAAATTGCTTATAGTTTGACCAAAACATGGTGGGAAATGAACATTGCTCGATTGAGAAGATTGCTGTAACCGTTGTAGTGCGCGATTTGACTCACGTAGAACTTTGAGTTTCTTGTGAGCGGGCAGTTCAAATTCCTCGTAACCAATGTGAAATAAAAATGTTAATATCTCCGTTAGGAGTTGGATACAGTTATTTTCGTTGCGCAAATCGTGTTCTACGTGAAATTCTGGTTAAGAAACATGTATCAGAATGCTAAAATCGTACCTTGTCTAGTAGTCCATTCTTGGTTTCTATGGACCCTGCGGTGCCTTTCCTCGCGGACAGTCACATTTGATGATTTTTATTTGACAATAAATTATCATTGCGCGTCTGGAACTTCTCCTTCAGATTATTTTCCTGATGATGTTTAAAAATGGGAAAAACTTTCGTCAAAATTGAACCACTTACTTCAAAGAGTACCCAACTCCGGGGGACAAAAAATTCGGCGGATGGAAGAAGTTTTTAGCGCATGTCATGATCAGTTCCCAAAAAGAGCCCATTGGCCCGAAATATGAAAGTTTTTGGTCCTTCAATGGCGCAATAAAAACGTTCTACGCCTTGGAGTTGCACCCCTCGAAACAAATTAAGGTCGCGATTATTTTTTCAATGTAAAATGAAAAAACATTAGTGATCTCCGGCTCGAAAGGTCACATGGTTTACATGGTCCCAGATCCAGGTGCCACCATGTAAGAGAACGCAATAAGTGTATTTCCTTCGGAAACTAAATTAAAAAAGAGAAGAAAAAAATCAACGAGACAAAAGATGCGCGTGATCATTTTTCAGCGATGAAACGGAATTTCCCCATTTCTCGAGTTGGGCAGTTTCCGACGCGCAAATCATTCAATTCCGGCGCACGATAATTAGGGTCGTCTTATTCTGGACTGATGAGTGCTTCCTGGGCTCCTCTATTGGCAACCTACTCGGATCCAAGCGGAGCGACTTTCGGAGGAAAGCACTCGATTCAAGGTACAAATTACACGGGGCGACCTTGGGAATATTATTCGAGACAAAAAATAGAGCGGACCGGAGCGGAGTCTGTTTCAGAGGACGCGGGAGAGAAAGAGGGGGAGTCAGAGAGAGCGTAATCTGTCGCGGTAACATGCAACTTGACGCGTGGCGTGGCATGCCCGAGTGTCGCAACCGCGCGGTATCACAGTGTCATGCCGCGCCGGGGCGCCGCGCCGCACTAGGCCAGGACCAGAGCCTCCAAGTGCCATGTCTCCATAGGCCTTAACCGTA